CCTCAACACTGTCTCTCCATCTAGCTTTGTGTCATCTGCAATAGTAGCAACAATGCCCTCAGTTCCTTCATCCAGATTGTGAATGTGTGACATGAAGAGCTGTAGTTCATTGTTGCCTTTGACAGTTCCAACAAGCTGATTGCAAATTCAACACAATCATTTGACATATGTTCAGGTCAGCAATTAATGAAACTTTGAATAGTCACCTTAAGTAATAAAGCCCTTGCTATAATTGAAAGATAAATACGTGGAATAAAATCAATTTGTCCAAAGTTCAATATGAAATACAATCTATTAGACAAAGTGCTGCCAAGAGCTGAGCTTGTGGCCAAATTCTCAAGAAATTTGCCACTTAACCGACTGACTGGTTCTCCAACATTCACGATCTGGATGAAGGAACTGAGGGCATTGTTGCTACGTTTGCAGGAATGAGGATGATGCAGGACCAAGTTCCCCGTTCTCTTTATAACTAACTCTTACTCTCAGCAGGAAAGTAATGGCGCTGGGGGTTTGCTAGTATTTAGCAAAAAAAAAAGGGAAGGCAAGTGCAAAATTTCCAAAATTGTGGATGCTACATTTGAATCCCACTGTTTGTTGCCACATTTTACTGTTTCAAAAAATTACTTATATACAATACTGGAAACAAGGGAGGCACATGTTGCAAGGTTTCCAATAAGTCAAAACAGCTCAGAGTTCTTTAAAGAGTAGTTCCTGAGTTAGTTGGTTGGAGAAGAAAACAGATGCAAACTCCTGCAGACATAAACTGTTAAGTTTACTGTTAAAAAAGAACTGAACTACACTGATTCTGTTTGGGACTCGGTGAAGTAAAGAACAGCTGGGTGACTCAGTGCTGTCGGAATGTAGGAAGAAATTCAAGCAAATAGTAGGCAGCAAAATGTTGGAGTCAGGGCTCTGGAAACGTCTTGGGAGGAGTGAGGGTCAGAAGTAGTCATGTATCACTAATAGTTTAGTAAGTAGGTTGGTTAGCTCAGTTGGTTGAATGGCTGGTTTGTAATCCAGAGTAACCCAAGCTGTTGGCAGTGTTCAATTTCTGCACCAGCTGTTTTTAAATTCATTTATGGGATGTGAGTATTGCTGGCTGGCCAACATTTATTGCCCATCCTTAATTGCCCTTGAGAAGGCTGTGAAAAGCTGCTTTCTTGAATAGCTGCAATCCCTCAGCTGTGGGTTGACCCACAATGCCATTCGAGGAAATTCCAGGACTTTGACCCAGTGATGGTTGATGGCTGATGGCTGATAGCTGATAGTTACCATGAAGATTATCTTTTCAACCTCTCCTCTTGCCTGAAGTATGATGGTCCTCAGGTTAAACCACCAATTATCTTGTTCTAATGAGAGAGTAGTCCTATTGTCAGTTTATCTTTACCACAATGGTGAGTAATGAAGGAAAGCTACAAGCATAATGATTTTGTGCAACTCAGCCAGATTAGAGCTAAGGCAACAAACAAGACTTGCTTGATCTCACCGTTTATGAAAAGCTGGAATATGGCCTGTAAGTACTGGGAGTACTGTTTCCAAGAATCTAGGGGAATGTAATCCCAGGGAAGGCAAACCCAGAATGCAAGCAATTGTTGGGGTAGTCCATGACATAACATCAACGGAGTTTCAATACTAAGTGATCAAAAAAGAAAAAAAAACGAGACTTGTAATCATTTGTGAAGTTTTAATGTGATTTGATGACTGTCTCTCTAAAATCTGGGGTGATTACTTAGAAATGCACATGATCTGTGTTGATCACATTTACCATTTGATGTGTTCTGTGGGGTGTTCAACCGTAGTTTGTCACCTAATTTTTCCTCATGCTAAATTTTTAAGTTAGAATGCAAGTCATATCCACCCATGCAAAGTGATCTTTGCATGTTGTTTCAGTAATTTTTATTTGTAATAAACTGGTTATTCTTTGTTGGCTAAAGACACCTAGCTGATTTTTTTTCCTAATACTAAACCAAACAGTCTAAAACATATATAATTGGCCATTTCACCAATTTGTTATAACCATTACAAGAGTGAGACTAGATGAAAAAAAAACCAATGCAGCCTTTATCCTCAGTCATAACATTTCCATCTATCAAACATTTAGGATATAAAATTTCCAATAATAGATGCCAGTGAAGACAAAATTACAACTAGTTAAAATCTTCAAGTTCCATAAATAACCTGGTGAATAAATGGATATGATGTGTATTGAGCCATATCTGAAGATCCTAGCTTTTATTCCTAGTCTATGCTAAATCCATTTCTCTCTGTAATTTGGTTGCTTGAACCGATTTCAATGTGCCTGGATTAAAGAGGAGAAATGTCCAGCCAAATTCCAATTCCTGAATGTCATTGTTGACAGCTGCAAGAAAGTGCCTGCTTACAGTTGCTGAATAAAGAGAGGACTGAATTAAATGCAATGCCCCCATTGCAGGAGTAGTCCGCCAGCTCATAAAAGAAAAAAGGCTTGCATTTATATAGCACTTTTCATGATCTCAAGACAGTCCAAATACTCTACAGCTAATTAAGTACTTTGAAGTACAGTCACTGTTATACTTTTGCAAACATGACAACCAATTTGCACACAATGTGATAATGACCAGAACATTCTTTTTTTGTGATGTTGATTGTAGAATAAATATTGACTAGATCAATAGCAGAAAAATCCCTTTTTTCTTTGAAACAGTGCTGTGGGATATTTTATGTCTACTTGAGAAACTAAACAGATCCTCAGTTTAACATCAAACCTGAAAGATGGCATTTGACAGTGCGATGTTCCTTCAGTGCCCACTACAGAGTGGAGTCTTGAAGTGTGATTTTGCTGTCTAATGGAAGAAGGCACTTGTTACTTGGAACATATTTTGTTAGCAAGATACCCTTTGAATTGGCTTTTCTCCACACTGGTTTTCCCAACACTCCAGACACAAGCATAAGGGGTGACCTTGGCTTGGAGATATTTTCTTATTTTGGGATGGTAGTGAGGATTTCAATAATGTTAGGATATAATGTTAACTTTTCCTTCACATCATCTTCAGAGTCAAGGATTGTGGCATATACATTGGTCATAGTAGCATATGGTTGACTTGTAGTTAAGTACCATGAGGTTTTCATGTGTACAATTGAAAATTCTGTTAGTGCATCCAAGATCCTATTCTGGTGGAAAAAATTAGGCATGGGATAAGGATCATGCTCAGACTTTCCTTTCAAGTAAAGGTGCATCTTCCTGTTTGTGCTTTCAGCTATCCCTTTCCAGGAAGACATTTGATGCCTCTGTTGTCTGTGGGCAGATTCATTGCCAGGAATTCCAGGTTCCCTTTGACTTTGTTGATAATTCTCCATCATTACAAAGAACCTTAAAGAAGTCTGCATGTCATTTAGTTTAACATGGGGACCTTGCAGCACTGTTTTAGCTTATGATCTTGACAGATTTGTGGTATGGCCTCAGCGACATGCCAGAATAAGATGGCCAGAACCACCTTGCATTTGCAGCTTTCTTCCACCTTTGCAGCTGGTGAGATGCAAAGTCTTCCTTCATCTCTTCTTCTGTTGAGAACTTTTGGACCACACTTTCTCTGACACTGTTCTTGACCTAGCTACCATGGGTGGCACCACCAGTAGCAAGGAGCTCCCAACTCATTGTTCAAGAGACTGTCATAGCACATAAGTCTCTCCATCATATCAAGGTGGTGATCCACAAAAGGCAATTAACAGCCCGAGCTTGAATGCTGTCCATACTCCGCTGCAAATGGGCATAACCCTTTTCATTGCTTGGACAGTTGTGACTTGGCACTGTACAATTATCAATGAATATTCATATCTCTGATGGAAGTCAGGTCATTGATGAAGGAGCTGAATAGGTCTGGGACACTACTCTGAGGAACTTTGCAGTGCTGTCTTGAGGCGAGGAATGATTGACTTCCAACAACCTTTTTCCTTTGTGTTAGGCATGATTCTAAATCAATGGAGTAGCTTCCCCATTTTCATTAACTTGAATCTATTTCCACCATCCTTTTCAGTAGGTGCAGATGCACAGGACATTGGTTAGGCCACTTTTGGAATACTAAATTCAATTCTTGTCTCCCAGCTCTAGGAAAGCTGTTGTAAATTTTTTCTAAACTCTTTCAAGTTTTACAAGGATCTTGCCAAGGTTGGAGGGTTTGAGCTACAGGGAGAGGTTGAATAAGCTGGGGTTATTTTCCCTGGAGCAGATGGTGACTTTATAGAAGTTTATAAAATCATGGGGGGCATGGATAGGGTGAATAAACAAGTCCATTTTCCCCAGGATAGGGGAGTCCAAAACCACAGAGCATAGGTTTAAGGAGATGGGGAAAAATTTAAAAGGGACCTAAAGGGCAACTTTTACATGCAGAGGGTGGTGAGTGTATGGAATGAGTTGCTAGAGGTGATGGTAGAAGCTGGTACAATTACAACATTTAAAAGGCAGCTGGATAGGAAAGATCTAGAGGAATATGGGCTAAATGCTGGCAAACGGGACTAGATTAATTTCGGATACCTAGTCAGCATGGACGAGTTGGACCGGAGGGTCTATTTCCGTGCAGTACAGCTCTATGACTCAGTCTAAATTCTTAACAACTCTGTTGTGTACTATGACAAAAAAGTTAGGTTCCTTTCACGTCCTCTGGTTACTGACTTCTTGTTAATCAAAATATTTCATGACTCTGAACACCTCTATCAAATTTCTTCAATCTTCTCTGCTGAAAAAAAACAACTACAGTCTCTCCACAAAACTAAAACCCGGAATACTTAGTAGCGTTCTACTGAGTAACCTCCACGACAAATGATAAACTTACCTTACATCTCGAGAGCTGTAACCTATCATTGAGACACATTTTTATCTCAACATCCTGACATACTCGCCTCCTCATTCCGGCGCTTGCGCACCGTATCTACAGGCACGAGCAGATCATGTGACCATCGCCGATGGCGGTTCGGATTTGATTTGATTTGATTGAAGGAGGGAGACTGTCAGTGTGCGCGTGCGCATGAGCGGGAGGGTGGGAAAGAGGAGACCTCTTTCCGGTAGCGAGTTCCCGGATGAGCCCCCCTTCCCCCTTTTCTCTCAGTCCCGGCCGCGGCGGAAATGGTGGATGGAGCGAATGAGCGGCCGTACAGTACACAACACGACACGGCGACAACATTAGCGGCAGGGCGCCGATTTCGGCTCCCGTCACAGTCTCCCGCAGGTCGCGGACACTCTACATGGCGACCCAGCAGTTGCGCGGTACCGAGGTTTATTGCGACGCCAGCGGAGACTGCAACCATGTTGCTGTCAAGATCAAAAGCCATAACATACAGCAGGAGGAGGAGACGGAGACGTCGGCTTCTCAGCTCCAGCACCAAGGCCCTGGGCCCACCAAATACAGTATCTCGTCCAGTTGTAGCTCTGGAGAATCAGTCAAACGGGCGGCCCGTAGTCCCCGGCGTCGCCGGCGCAAGTTTCCTCAGCTCTTCGAGCGGGCATCGGGTAAGTGGTGGGACCCCGCCTTCGACTCGCGAAACCTGGAGGACGCGTGTCTGGAGCGCTGCTTCCCGCAGACCCAGCGCCGCTTTAGGTACGCGTTGCTCTACCTCATGGTGGCTGCACTGCTCTGGGCCATTTACTTCGGCTGCGGCGTGAGGGACAAGGACCAGGCTCTGGGGGCCGTTTTCCTGGCTCCCACCCTGCTCTTCATGCTGTGTTGTGCCGGCCTTTTGGCGGTCACCTTCAGTGGACTCTACTGCCACCACTATGTCCGAATCTCTCTGCTCTTCACGTTACTGGTCTTCGCCTTGTCGCTGGCCACTCGTTTCCAGGCCGGCACTGGCAGCGGCCTGGGTTGTAGCGGGAATGATAGTCAAGGCTCTTCTCCCTGCTGGAGCTATCTGTCGCCAGTTGGCAGTTTTTCCATCTGCGTGGAGGTGTTACTGCTGCTCTACACGGTCATGCCGCTGCCTCTCTATCTTTGTTTTATCTTCGGCGTTTCTTACTCGCTATTGTTCGAAGTGTTGGGTTATCATCTGGGCAGCGTCGAGTGGCCCCAGCCGCCGGGTTCCGGCCAGCATCTAGTGCTGGAAGCTATGGCCAAGCTTTTCCTACATGCTTGTGTACATGCAGTGGGCATCCACCTCTTCATCATGTCACAGGTACGCTCCCGTACCACGTTCCTGAAAGTAGGCCAGTCCATCATGCACGGCAAGGACCTGGAAGTAGAGAAAGCCCTGAAGGAACGCATGATCCACTCTGTCATGCCCAGGATGGTGGCGGACGAGTTGATGAAGCAAGGAGACGACGAGAGCGAGAACTCCTTCAAGCGTTACTCCACCTCCAGCCCAAAGAGCAAGAAGAAGAAAACATCTATACAGAGAGCGCACATCATCTTCAGGCCCTTCACCATGCAACGCATGGAGCCCGTCAGCATCCTCTTCGCAGACATCGTGGGCTTCACTAAAATGAGCGCTAATAAATCCGCCCACCTGCTGGTCGGTCTCCTCAACGACCTTTTTGGACGCTTCGACCGTCTCTGCGAGGGCACGGGATGCGAGAAGATCAGCACCTTGGGCGATTGCTACTACTGCGTGGCCGGCTGTCCCGAACCCCGCTCCGACCACGCATACTGTTGCATCGAGATGGGCCTGGGCATGATTCAGGCCATTGAACAATTTTGCCAGGAGAAGAAAGAAATGGTTAACATGAGGGTCGGGGTGCACACAGGTACTGTCCTATGCGGTATTTTGGGAATGAAACGCTTCAAGTTTGACGTTTGGTCTAACGATGTGAACTTGGCCAATTTGATGGAACAGCTTGGGGTGGCTGGAAAGGTCCACCTTTCGGAAATTACGGCCAAATACTTGGATGAACGTTATCTAAAGGAGGATGGGAAAGTGATGGAAAGGGTTGGCACGCAGAGTGTGGTGGCTGATCAACTGAAAGGTAACTAATTCATTTTCGTATTGTATAGTATTGATTGAAACGTTAAAGTTGGGTCCTAAGCCAAACTGACTTTTCATGATGTAAAGAGATATTACCGCACTAAATGTTGACTCTTCCTCTTTACGCAGATGCTGCTAGATCTGAGTTTTTCCAGCAATCTGTTTCTTTCGCATCGTGTGAAATTGTATAGCTTATATAATTGCTTTATTTGCTAGCAATGTGACCATAATTATGTTTGCTACTTTGATAACTTATGATGTGAGTGGGCTGAAAAGTTACAAATAGAATTCTATCTCCAGAAGTATAATGTTACCCATTTCGGGAGGATAAACAAAGCAAGGGATGCACAATAATTGGGGAGAGTATTGGGAGGGCTAGAGGAACTGAGAAACATTGGTGTGCATGTCTACAGGTTCCTGAAAGTGACAGGAACAGGTAGCTAAGGCTGTATTGAATGCAGATGCAGTGTTTCATCTATATAAGACACCGGTTATGCCACAGGCGTTTTGTGCAGTTGGGTCACCATTTTACTGGAAGGATGTAATACTCTGGAGAGAATACAGTGGAGATTTACAAGAATGTTGTCAAGGCTTGAAAACTGCAGCTATGAGGAAACACTGGATAGGCTTGGGATAATGTACTTGGAACATAGGCTGAAGGGGTAGTTACGTTAAAGTGTACAAAATCATGAAAGGCTTGTATAGAATGGACAGAGAAGACCTATTTCTCTAATGGAAGGTTAGTTACCGAGAAATACAGATTTAAGGTGATCATTGGAAAGATTAGAGGGGATGAGTCGAAAATCCTTCTCACCATGAGCATTTTAGCTATCTGTGATTCACTGCCCAATTAGGTGGTTGAGTGGAAATCCTTGACTCATTTAATGGAACCTGAGTCTGCACCTAGAGTGTTCTAAACTGCATATGTGGACTTGGTGCTGGATAATAGAATAGAATAGAATTGAATCCCTACCACGTGGAAGCAGGCCATTCAGCCCATCAAGTCCATACTGACTCTCTGAAGAGCATTCCACCTGGACCCACTCCCCTACCCTATCCCTGTAACCCTGCATTTCCCTTGGCTAAACCACTTAGCCTGCGCATCTTTGGACTGTGGGAGGGGAACAGAGTACCCGGAGGAAACCCACGCAGACACTGGGAAAATGCCTGTGTGGAGTTTGCACAGTCACCCGAGGGTGGAATTGAAACAGAGACCCTGGTGCCGTGAAGCAGCAGTGCTAAACACTGAACTGCCATGCCAGCATAGGATTAAAATGATTGGCTAGTTTATTCAGCTGCTGCAAATACAAAGGCCTGAATGGTCTCTTTCTGTGTTGTAACTCCTCTGTGGTTCTAACTTTGTTTTCTGTAAAGTTTTAGTACTGAACAATTTCAGTGGCAAGAAGGAATCAGAAAATTGATTTCTTGGTCAGTGTTAAATTGTATCCATGCATTTTGCTCAAAAATTTAACAAGGCACTCTTGTGTGACTTCTTTTTCGAAAATGACTACTTCATTTAACTTCTATAGTCTTTTCCAAAAGTGTAATCGATTAATTTACAAACATTGCTTTAAAGCTATAGTCCAGCTATTAATTAGTAAAAGCTTTTAATTAATTCGATTTACATTTCCTGCTGCTATCATTAACTTGTTCTCAATGAGTGGTATCCCTCTCAAATAATTGGGTGTTAGTGTGATTGATACTGGAATGTCATTGTTATTTGAATATAATATACTACCCTTCTTAAAAGTGTATCCATCCTGTTTTGTGAAGTTGTAGTGAATTTGTTCTAAATTTTTTAGAGCACCAAGAATTAAAAAGATAAATTTATTTCTAAACTGTGTTTACAGGTGTCTTATCACTGAACTACAGTTTAATTGGTCTGTGAAATTGATGTTTGATCATTTGAGTGACAGCCATCTAGCTAAAGATTTTGTACTTCCAAAAGTAGGTTGTCAGTAGAGGGATCGTTTTTGTTTAGCACTACAATGAAATACTGGGTGGACTGGATAGAAATTAAGAGCATCTTGCAAGTAGCCTGCTTTTACCATAGTTATTATTACAAAAGCACTAAGTCCAGTAGTGAGGTGAGTGAGTTTTGTCTTCACAGGAAGCTGTATCACTGAATCTGTGATGGATTAAAAAGTTGAGCACTTTGGGTTATTAAATTAAGCTCCAAATGAGGCAGAAATGTAGGGAGCTACATTTGCTAAACATGCAGCGTTTTCACCGAGGAAAATCTCTTTTCAAACACCATTTAATGTTCCAAGTTTGAATTGATATGTCAGTAAAATGATGGATTTTATCTTCAGAAAAGCAATTAAGTTTTATAATCTCCTACAATTCATGCATTGGAACATGTAATGTTTAGATCAGGGAAACCAAAAATTTAAAGTTATAATATTTTTCTTAATGTAGGTAAAGAGCTAAGTCTGAATAAATTGTAAACAAGCACTTTATATGATTCACTGTTAAAATATTTTCAGTCACACTGCCAGCATCATTGAAAAATTAAACTTTCGTTAGATCTGTTGTGAAATACAAGGATTACAGCACCAGGGGTTGAGCTAACTGAAGACTCTTGCCTATGGAATTCTGGTTTTATTCCTGACTTTGTAAGGATTGTTTAGAAGGATAAGGAGGATCTAGCAATAGTCCTTTTTCATTTCAAAAGTGTAATTTTTGGGCAAGAAACATTTCTGCATAAAAATATGTACTTACTACAGTTTTTCACAAAAAGTCAAAGCTGAACCCTATATAGAAACAAGAAGCAAGAGTGATAACACTTCCAGACTTTTAAAACGAAAGGAGCAGGAATGGGCCATTTGACCTGTAGAACATGCTCTGCATTCATCATGATTGACTAATCTTCTCTCCCCGAACTCCGGACCCAATTCTCTCCCCGTCTGTGTCTCTCTTAAACATGTTCAGTCATTTGGCCTCAGTGGCCTTATGAGATAGAGAATTCCACACTGTCAGTACACCATGTGGAGAAATTTCTCCTCTTCTCAATCTGAAATAGCTTACCCAGTATCCTGAGACCATAACCCATTGTTCTGGACCCCTCAGTCTGGGAAAATATTATCTCTGCATCCAGTCAGTCTAGTCGATCGGCATTCTGTTTTATAATTTTGAGACCCCGCATCTTCCTCCCTTCTAAACTCCAGTGAATACAGTGCAGTTGACCCAATCTCCTCTTGTATGATAAATCTAACATCCCTGGAATCAGTTCGGTGAATCTTTACTTCATTCCCTCTGTGGCAGGTAAAACTTTTCTTGGGTCGTTGGCTGGGGCAGGGTGGGGATTGGTGGAAGAAGGAGGTGGAGGAGGAATGTAAGGAGACCAAAAGTGCACAAGATTTCAAGTATGGTCTGACTGAGGCCTTCTGCAGTTATAGTAAGATTTTGTTGCTCCTGTACTCAAGCCATCTTGCAGTGAAGGCATTAACATTTCCCAACCTATCACTATTTAAATAATACTCTGCCATTCTGCTTTTCCTACCAAAGTGGATAACTTCACACTTATGGCACATACAGTGCAATGTGGTTGCATTTGCCCATTCATCAACTTGTCTAAATTGCTTTGAAGCCTTTTTACCACCACCTCATCACCTAGTTTTTGTGTTGCCATCAAACTTGGGAATATCACATTTTGATTCCCTCTTCCACGTCATTGATATAATGAATAGATGGGATCCAGGCACAAATTATTGTGATACCTCACTTGTCACTGCTTTACACTCTGAAAAAGACCTGTTTGCTCCTCAGGTCTTTGTGGTTCTCAGGCCTTACCAGAATATTGCCACCCATGCTATGTACTTTGATCTTGGCACACTAACCTCTCATATGGGATGTGATCAAAAGTTTTCTGAAAATTTTTTGCACTGGATCCACTGGTTATTTCTCTCATTCTATTAGTATCCCGAATACAACTATTGTATGTTATCATCAGTTTGAATGAGATGCCACATGCACCTCCATGGACCTAATGGTCACCAGCAGTTTTTCGTTGACTGTTAACACCACCTAATTTTTAGAAAGATAGTCTTGCATGTCTCATTCTGACTGAGATCACTTTGTTTTGAGACAAACCAGCATGTGAGATAGATTGGCTATTCCTTTGGGTCTCTGTCTCAATTACTGAGCTGTTAACTAAAGCTTTTGTACACATTTGGGACAGCTTTAGAGAATGCTAATGAGTCATACAGCTGTACAGCATGGAAACAGACCCTTTGGTCCAACTTGTCCATGCCAACCAGATATCTTAAATTAATCTAGTCCCATTTGCCAGCATTTGGCCCAATTCCCCAAACCCTTCCTATTCATATACCCAACCAGATACCTTTTAAATGTTGTAATTGGACCAGCCTCCTCCACTTCCTCTGGCAGCTTATTCCATACATGCACTATGCTCTGTGTGAAAAAGTTGCCCCTTGGGTCCCTTTTAAATCCTTTCCCCCTCATCGTAAACCTATGCTGTCTAGTTTTGGACTCCCCCACCCCAGGAAAAAGACCTTGTCTATTTACCCTATCCATGCCTGTTATGATTTTATAAACTTCTATGAGGTCACCCCTAAGCCTCCGACACTCCAGGGAAAATAGCCCCAGCATATTCAGCCTCTCCCTATAGCTCAAACCCTTCAACCCTTTTCTGAACCCTTTCAAGTTTCACAACATCCTTCCTACAGCAGGGAGACCAGAATTGCATGCAGTCAGTATTCCAAAAGTGGCCTAATTAATGCACTGTACAGTGCAACATGACACCCCAATTCCTATATTCAATGCACTGACCAATAAAGGCAAGCATACCAAACGCTGCCTTCACTATGCTGTCTACCTGCAACTCCTCTTTCAAGGAACTATAAACCTGCACTCCAAGATCTTTTTATTGTTTTGAACACAGTGGCCTAGGTTGCTTTAGTTGCAGTGGCCCAGTGGTATTATCGCTGGACTGTTAATCCAGAGATCCAGAGACCCAGATAACATTCTGGGGACCTGGGT